AGGTGGGGTCCTAATTTAGCTGGCTTAGAGGTGCCTGCCAGCTAAATTAGAACCCCACCTGGAGCTCCTCCCACTGGACCAGCGCTGACTGGCCGCTGCAGGGTTTTTTTTTCTTTCTTACTTACCTCGCCGATCGTTGCGTCACTGCTGTTCCGGTGGGCGGCGCTCCGAGCGGGGTCATCTGGCAGTCTCCGGCCACCTAAATTAGGACCATATACAGTATGTATTTCATCTGTGTGTTTAGGTACTTAGCTGGTGGTCCGGAGTTTAGCTTCTCTTTTCCAAAAAATAATTTATGGCGACATCCCTAATTATTAGGAGTAGCATATCAATGGAGGGACAAGCAATGCAAAATAAAATACTGGTGAGATTAAAGGAGAACTATGAGGTGAGTGAAAATCACTCATCCTCATAGTTCGAGCCGACGAGTGACAATTAAACTGTCACACGACGACTCAATAGATTGGGAAGTGAGCGAACGCATACCGTCGCTCGTTCACTTCTTGATCATCTCCCTGCAGAGAGCGTTGACTGTCGGTCACCTCTCCCTGCAGGGATTCCCCCACCCCCCTTTCCGATCCTCCAGCACTGACTGGAGGAACAGACTGGGGAGGGGGCGGGTACAGCTGGCTCTGCCTCTATATAGGCAGAGCCAGCTGTCATTCACGCAGCTGGGTGGATCTCGACAGCATTGTCAGGATCTTTCCCGGCTGTGGCTGTCTCAGTATACCGCGAATTATAGCTCGCAATATACTGAGCTTTGGGTCACAGGAGGACGCTAGTATATGTCCTCCCCAGTGACGTGTGGTATCTCTTGTGGGGGGTGAGGGATTTCCCAGCCTCGCCCCCAACCGGACAAAGCCCCGCCCCCACCGTCTGAAGCTCTTCCTCCTGTCGGCCGAAGCTCTGCCTCCTGTCGGCCGAAGCTCTGCCCCCCGCCGGACGAAGCCCCACCTCCAACTTGTCCCCAAGCTAGTGTAAAGGAGGAAGGAAGGAGACAGGGGGGAGACTCCCTGTCACTCACTTGCTCCATCGACGCTGAGGATCCGGGACAGGTTACACAGCGGGGAGGATTTCCCCGATCTGAATGGATTCCATAATTTTAGGTGAGGCTATGCCTCACCTGCCTCCCCTGACCGCACGTCCCTGGTCCTCCCGGGATCCTTAAGAGAACTGTGGGGAAAAACACTTACCCCATAGTTCTCTTTTAAGCCTTTTCTTTGCAAGAACATTGCTACTAATAGTAAACCTATTCTTAAATCTAAATGGGAACTTACAATAGCTTTAGAGCAGGTGTAACTAAGACAACATAATCATTATCATCAGTGGCTGTCCAATGCATGAAGGTAGCGTGGAAGATGGCAGCTGTGGCGAATGGAGCAGTGGCCAACTACAACCTTTAACCTGTCATTGCCTGGAGGAGGGCACATTAGGAAATATACACCTTATGGCAAAAGCCCACCCATTGATTTTTTTTTTACTAACTACATGCAACTGTTAGGTTTATTATTTTATATCTAAGATATAAAATGTTTTCTTTGCATAAAATACTGTAGTGGGGATTTCTCAAGCCTGGAGCAGTTGTTCATAATAACCAATCAGCTTATCTCTTCAGTTTGTTCAGTTAAGCTTTGAAAATTGAAGTGAGAAGCTGATTGGTTGTCATCACAGCTGCTCCTGATTCTGCCAGCTCCAGTTTTGATAAATTCCCTTTTTTTGTTGTTTTTTGTTTGTCTCCTGGGGTGGATTTTCAACTAGATTGAGTATATTTTGTAAGCCCTGGTCCTGTTTTCAACATGTTTAATTTTTTGCTGAAGTGTTTGCAACAATATCTGTTTAAACATCAATAGGATTGGTTATACTATTGTGCTGCCCGGCCCCGGCAATATAAAGTGACACTAAACTCAGGAATTACATTTTAAAAATGCATTCAAGTACCTTAACTTTTAACAAAATGTATATTATTTGTGTATCACTCAGCTATAGATCCTCAAATAATCTCTGAATTGGTGCTGACACTGTCCTTCCTTCTGGAGGGTGGTTACTTTTGTTCCCCATGGTACCTGTGTGTGTTAAAAAGTATCCACCGCCCCAAGCTCGCTTCCGTGATGGACTACAATCTCAATACAAGTTAGTAAACTAAACATGAGTTTGTACCCCATCATGGGAGCGAGCTTGGAGTGGTGGCTACTTTACAGCTAAGTACCTAAACTAGAACTCTTCTTTGTGTATCATGTGGCTGTAGATCCTCAAATTATTTCTGAACTGGTGCTGACACTGTCCTTCCTTCTGGAGAGTGGCTACTTTTGTTCCCCATGGCCCTGTGTGTGTTATAAAGTAGTAGTAGTAGTAGTCACTACTCCACGCTCACTCCCGTGATGGGGTACAAACTCATGTTTAGTTTACTAATTTGTATTGAGATTGTAGTCCATCACGGAAGCGAGCTTGGGGCGGTGGATACTTTATAACACACACAGGGACCATGGGGAACAAAAGTAACCACCCTCCAGAAGGAAGGACAGTGTCAGCACCAATTCAGAGATGATTTGAGGATCTACAGCCACATGATACACAAAGAAGAAGGTACTTGAATATATTTTTAAGATTTAACTCCTGAGTTTAGTGTCACTTTAATGTTAAGCCAAAGCCAGAGTCATTAGGAAAAGTCATAGTTAAGGTGACACTATGTACACAATTTCTTGGCAGGGCTGAACAGTTTGAGCGAAGTTCAGAAAAAGCACACTGAGAATGTAGAGGCTCCAGTGGGGAAGTTACATGCAATGAGCTGCAGCTAAACCCAATTTAAAACAAAAGATGTTTATATATAATAGAACTCACCGTGCTTGCCAAGGGAAACTAATGAAGCTTGCTGCCCCCTACGGATCTGGCATTCACTAAAAACATACTTAGATTAATTGTTCTGGTTCGGGTAAAAAGAAAGGGAGAGTTCTTGGAAACAGGACAATTATTTGAAGTTCTTCCTCAGATAATTAAAAGCAGTGTTTTTTCAACTTTGGACATGTCTACATGGGTGCAGAAGAAACAGTTTTGACCGAGCCCAAGAGGTCATGGGGCCCAGGGACTATGTTACCAGCTGTGTGTTAACATGACATTTTCTACAGAATACTGTAACATTTAACCACTTGCTGACCAGGGTGTTAAACCCACTTCCTGTCCCGGCCATTTTTCAGTATTCAGCACTGCGGTACTTTGAATGGCCTTTATTCCGTCATGCAACGCTGTACTGAAATTAATTTTATACAATTGTTTTGGGGACAGATAGAGCTTTCTTTTAGTGGTATTTTTTATTATATTAAGGAAAAATGACCGTAAATTTTGAAAAAAACAAAACTTTCCCCAATATTAAATTATGAAACATTTATTATTACCCAATTTTTTGGTAAAATATAAAAGACGGGGTCACGACGGGTAAATAGACACCAAACATGTCAAGCCTTAAAAATTACGCACACCGGCGAAACCTCAAAAAACTACAATACCAAATAGGCCATAGGCGACTCTTTAAAAGCTTTTACTGCTCATCAGTTTAGTGTTATCAGTGATTGATGGCCCAAAAATAATTTCTCTCACTTTGAGGTTCGTGGCCATATGTAACATGTGTAGCGCAATTGTCGTTCTCATGCGTCGGCACACCCGACGCGTATTTACGTTTATATATGCGTGGGGGTGGGTGACTTAAAACATTTTTTTAGTTTTTTTTACATTTCTTTGTATGTGACTTTTTTTAAAGTTTTAATTTTTTTTTACACTTTATGTTATTGCTATCACATAGGATAGCACGTGCACACTGACAGGTCCTCTTTATGGAGACATTAGGGGTCTCTAAGACCCCTAATGTCGCCTGGGGACCCCCAAAGAAGCAGAGATCTGCTTCCTCAGCTTCTTCTCTGGCTATGAGAGGAGAGAGGAATGACAGCTGAATGCGGAAGTGATGTAATACACTGCGGGAGGGGGAGTGACACGCAGGGCAGCACATACATGCGAT